TCCGTACCATTGAGAGTGCTGCAGAGGGGAGACATCGCTCGGGGGAGAAAGGGGTGGCCTTCCCCCGTGGGCCCTCCTGGCCAACTCGGGAATGACAAAACAGGGTCCCACTGCTGATGTCTAACCTCTCTTCGCTGGGGACATGGGCTGAAGAGAGTCTGGAGGGAAGACAGGAGGGAAGTTAAATATGTGTATATAAAAAAGAACAGAAACCCTTGAAGAGCTCACCCACCTCCACGTAAAGCTACCATCCTCCTGCCAACCTGTGATGCCTCCCTTTTCATTGCTAGCCAATTAAAAAAAATAAAAATAGGATGACAGCAGCCAGAGAGGGACAGGGGTTTGGTGCAGATCCTCATGGAAGATGCAGTGTGCTTCAGGTCAGCAGCCCAAAGCTGAAATAAAAAATGTGAAGTTTGCTCATGCTCCAAGAACCCAGTGTGGTGATTCTGCTTGCAGAGTAAAGGTGGTTGGAGTAACTGCTCCAGAACAGATGGTTTTTAGTCTGGTGCACTTGGAGAATTGCTCCCCGACAGACCCAGTTGATGTCTTCCCCAGCACGATTGGCTTCTCCGTGTAGACGAGGGCCACTTGTTGGGCACTGCCTGGCTCAGGGCTTGTGACAAAGCTCCAGGTGGTTCTGCTTTAGCCTGGGCTTTTGGAAGAAAAAGGTCTGAGTTCTAGTCCCTCTTCCTTGGGATGTTCCTCAGTAAAATAATGCAGTCCAGATGCTTCCTCCTAGGTGTTGCCAGGGGAGGAGTGGAGAAGGTGAGGAGGACTTGGCAATTTTGCTCAGTGGGTTGCAGTATGAAACCAGTGGGCAGGTATGTCTATGGGAACAAGATGCTTATTAGAGCTGTTGCTTTAAAATGTCTTGTTTTCAGTTTTCTCCCTACATGTTTTGAATATATTTAGGGCACTTATCACCATAGCATCAAAGCACTGAAATATCCTGTGCAAGAAACTGAGAGATCTATCCCAAAATAGCTGCCTGCTCTTTTACCAAAGCACCAATTTTGCCGTCAGTGCTTCCTTTCCTTGCCGCTGCCCGTGACTGTGCGTGTGTATGCACGAGTGTCAGAGCTTTCTCTGTCCCCATCAGCCCAATGCTGCCACTTGTTGCCATAACGCAGCGGGTTAAGGGCCAAGTCCAGGAGAGATTTGTGGTGCTTTTTAGTGTATTTGTCTGACTTCAATATCGTGTAATGGGCTGAACGCTTTTGCAGGCTTCCCTGTGTGCATGGGTGCTGTGAAACCTTATTGCTGTTTATCTTGATATAAAAGGGTGGTTTTGTTCCATGAAAGGCAATATTCTGAACTGATAATGTGAGTGGTGTCTGGCTGTTGTGAGCCCAGATGTGCAGAAAGACTTTATGGCTTGTTAAGTCTTAAGGCATGCTGAGCACCTTTGGCTTTTCTTGATGCTCTTGGTGTCCCCTGAAGCTTAGCGCGTCTGATAAATCGGGCCAAAGGAGGTGCTGTCTTTCCTCGTGTCTGGGCTTTGGTGGCAGGACTGAGGTGTGAGAAACAGAGCTGCAGTCACTTCTGTCTGTTGCTCTGAGCTTTTCATTCTGCAGCCCCAAACTGAACTTCAAATTCTTCCTTGCTGCCTGGCCTTGCACGCCTGCCTCTCGTGGGAAAACCTGCCCCACTTGTAGGTTAAATTTACAAGGTGACTGACTTCAGTGTACATCTGTCTGAAGCCCCCGGTGAGTTATGGTTCATTGTTTTCTTTTTGCCCCTCATCTTCAAATGCCTCTCTGCATGCAGATTGCACCGAGCTCCCTCCTGAGTGTCAGCAGTTACTGATGTGCTCCCTGGTCTCCAGGAATGCTCCTTCTGAGCTCCTGACTCAACAGGCACCGGGGTCTTGCAGGGCAGGGTTAACTGCCGATAACAAGGGAAGATCTTTGATCGGCGCCACTGCAGAGTCCCTGGTTCATCATCTCGTTCCCGGCTTTCTGGGGACACTGAGCTCTGCTGGAGCCAGGGGGCTCGCGGCTGCCCCTCGCTGAAGAGCGTAAAACCTCGGGATCTGCATCAGCCGCGGTGCGTGCGCAGGGATCGGCGTGTCCCCCTTCCCAGAGCGCAGCCCAGCCCGCTCCCAGCCGCGCCACCCTGCTCGGTAAACTCTACGACCAAGGCAGCCCCGTTAGACCTTGGCTCTGTTACATTGGCATGAGATGAGGACACTGGTTTTGGGGGCCAGTAAAATGCAGAAGTTCCCCTTCCTTCCCTACTGGGGTGGAGTTGATTTTCTCCATAGTAGCTAGTATGAGGCGATGTTTTGGATTTGTGCTGGAAACAGCATTGACAACACAGGGATGTTTTTGTTATTGCTGAGCAGTGCTGACACAGAGTCAAGGCCTTTTCTGCTCCTCACCCCACCCCACCAGCGAGCAGGCTGGGGGTGCACAGAAGTTGGGAGGGGACACAGCCGGGACAGCTGACCCCAACTGACCCAAGGGATATCCCACACCATATGACATCATGCTCAGCATATAAAGCTGGGGGAAGAAGGGGGAAGGGGGGACGTTCGGAGTGATGGCGTTTGTCTTCCCAAGTCACCGTTAGGCGTGATGGAGCCCTGCTGTCCTGGGGATGGCTGAACACCTGCCTGCCCATGGGAAGCAGTGAATGAATTCCTTGTTCTGCTTTGCTTGTGTGCGCGGCTTTTGCTTTACCTGTTAAACTGTCTTTATCTCAACCCACGAGGTTTCTCACTTTTACCCTTCCGATTCTCTCCCCCATCTCACCGGGAGGGAGCGAGCGATCGGCTGGGTGGGGCTTTGTTGCTGGCTGGGGTTAAACCACGACACCTACACACACCATCCCTGCCAAGTATTCAACTGGGCTTCACGTTTCCTACTCCTCCTCCTCTGCCAGCATTTCCATCTGCATAATTAATTCTCGTGTAGCTCCAACCACCCATGCCACCGTCTTCCGTGAGTCTCATGGGAGGTCAGCTGTTGAAATGCATTAGATGCTTCGTCAGCAGATTACAGATCAGGTCATACCAAGCTGTCTATCCTCTCATTAGCATGCAGTAAGTGATCACATCTGGAGCCAGGTGTGAGCAGGCAGCCCCTCCTTACCATCCAAACCAACACTTACAAATTACTACCTGAGCTGGTCCTGGGCATACCTAATGCAATTCTGTTTATTTCTGAATGTGCTTGGGAGAAGTGGAGGTGTTCTTGGTTATAGAGTCAGCTTATGAGGTTTTCCGGTTTAGTTTTAAAGGGATGAGAAGAGTCTTCAGTGAAGAACTTCCATGTCTTCTCTGAGATGTTCAACTGTCTTTGAGGTGGCATTGCTGAGAGTCATGGTCACCCTCTTATTTGCAGCTTGCACCACCTTTTATACCTGGGAAAACTGCACATTTTCAGTTTGTCAGGATTTTTCTGCAGGAGCTTAGTGACAGAGAGCACAAGGTGAAGAACTTATCTGTGCCATTGGTGGTTTCTGTGCTACTGAAAATCCCTGCAGGCAGACGCCAGCTTCCTGCTCCACAAACAGAAAAAGTCTGAAAGAGTAAAAGAACAGGTGCTGTAGACTAGTAAATGATTTTATCCATTCCCTTTTCTTAGTTCCAGAAGAAAACGTCCTTCTCTGAGGCTGTGCCAGTACCTCGGAGAGTTTCCGTTGACCAGTGGAGTTAATTTCATGGGTTTTGTATGCAATTAACCAAGGATGTGATTTTACAGCAGTTCTGGATGAAGCACAGCTACCGCTGTTAGGAGATCTAGCAGTCAGCGGTTGTGGCTAGGATGGGAATTCCTGGTCTATAAACCAGCAACAAAAACAAAGTATGAAAAACAAAAGCTGTTGTGCACGGGTTTGCTGGAGAGCAGTCCCAGCTGGTGAACTGGGCACAGCTCTCCGACTGTGCCTGCTTTTCTGTGGATTCACAGGAGGATACTTGGAATGGGGTCAGCTGAAAACTGGAGCTGGTGCTGCTGTGGCAGAGGGGTGGTCTGTGGCACGGTGAATGCTGAGTTCTGCTTTCTGTTACGTAGGCAATGTTTCATGCATCTTAATGTAGACTTAAACCCATGAATTCCACTTAGGATATTTACAAAAGCAGTATCTGAATGGGTGGGTGGTGGGAAGGAGTTGGAGTGAGCTCGTGGACTGCTAGGAGGTACCTGACAGGTAATTAGAGGAAACCAAGCAATGAGGAGAAGCAAGATTCAATACCCCTGTCTGCAGAGTCTAAGTGACTGTGGTAATGGCACGTCCCTTTCCATTGTCTCTTTCCTCTCCAAATCACCTTTTAAACTGTATTCTGTGTTAAAACTCCTGGACTAAAACAAAACAGAAAAGCAAGCAAGCAACCAACCTAACAAAAAATCTGAGTGAATCCCCCTCAAAAGGCAACACGAACCATCAGCTAGGAACTGACTGATTTTGATTTATGGTTTCTTTATCTGGCAGAAGCAGGAAGGTAATGAACCAGTGTTTTGATCTCTGTGGGCTTTCCTGCAGCAGCGAGGAGATCAAAACAAGCTTAACTAATATTCTGATACCTGCACGCTTTCTTCCCCCTCCCGCTCCTTCTCTGGTACCTTACAGGCAGCCTTACACGACACCAAAGAACATCAGTTTTGTGGATGCCACCAACACCGTTCACGTCTCTCACAGCAGCCCTGGGGCAGTGGGGCTTCTCCAGTCGCGCTCGGCACAGCAGGGGCCAGGCCAGGACTCTCCAGTGCAGGGACAGATGTTGTCCTGTCCCGTCCCGCTCCTTTGGGATCTCCCCCTGTTCTCTGCAAGCCTCAGACTTGCAGGTCCTGAGGGTGCTGGCGGCGTGGAGGTGCGGGGACGTGGGGAATACCTGCCCCTTGCCATGGGAGGGGGAGCGGTGGAGGCGGCAGGCTGGTGTGGGGTCTGGGGTGCTCGCCCCTCACAGGAGGGAGGAGAGGAGCAGGCGCGTGAGGGAAAGCAAGCGGAGGAGTTACCCTGTCAGTTTGCAGAAACGCTGCTGTAGTTCTTCTTGACAGGGAAGGTCAGCTGCCTGGAGAGGTCCAGCGACAGCGCCTTCGGGTGCAGCGCCCGTCGCTGGTGCAGGGGGCTGGAGCTGGTCCTGGGCGAGTAGAGCACCGCCAGCTCGGGGCCCGGCAGGCTGGCTTCTGGCAGGAGAGCCTCCACCGCAGCCGCCGGCTCCGGCCCGCTGCGTGGGCGGGCCCGGGGGGGGGGGCGGGGGGCTGTGGTTCTGGAACCTCACTGTCTTCACTTGCTGCAATGAGAAGGGGACCAGAGTCACAGTGGGAAGAGCAGCCACCCGCCCTCCTTGCTGGGATCTGCCCTGGAGAACCGGGAGGGTGACCTGAGGGGGCGGCTGGCTCCTTCCCGGGGGCAGAGGATGCCTGTGGAGAAGCCCAGTGTGATGTGCGGCTTATAGCAGGTGGAGGAGAGCACCAGGGAATGGCACAGCGTGGTGCAGCTAGCAGTGCCATCAGCTATCACAGAGACCTAGGCGAGTCGGTCCAGAGAGCCATCACCCGAGTTAGTGGGAGAGAGTGGAGGGGAGGAGCAGGTGGCAGCACGACACGAGGACAGACGGTGGCCTGTCCCGCCGTACCCCTCACGGAGAGCCTGTGGTTTCTCTCCAGCTGATGATGTTCCTCCTGGGAACTCCAAGGTCGGTTGGGCTTTCTGGGACTCATGGAGCAATTTACTCGTTGGGTGCCATGGGAAGGAAAAGTCATTACTAGGACAATTTGCAGAATGATTTTATCTTTATGAAATTTCCCTCTGGCTATTGGAGGGGAAAGGAATTTCCTTTCCAAATGGCTCAGCCAAAGCAACGCAGGGGAGATGGGGAAGCTCTGTAAGACCAGCCTGACATACGGTCTAACACCCAGGTCTGTGGCATTTGCTCATTCGCTCCCAAATTCTCAGGGACCTCAGTGGGATTCTTGCCTGATTTAAGACTTCAGAAAAGTCTCAAGATTTGATCATGACTGAACATTGGTTTATACTGAAAGAGTCCATGCAGCATCTTGCCTTTCTAAAGGGCTTAATCTGAACAGCAGAGTCTGCAACACAAATATCTGATTTCTTAATGCAGGTACCAATCCCAGTGATTTCTATCAGAAGAAAACCTGTCGAGAGTGGAGTGAAGCCCTCAAGGGATTTGGCCCCGGTCAATATTGGGCTGACACTGAATGCCAGTCCCAAGAGGACTGGGGGGGACCCTCTGAAGCAGCAGGTAACCGCTGGCCGTACCTTTTCGGTGCTGTTGCGGGAGGTGTCTGGTTTCACCAGAATGGATGGCGGGGCTGATGCAGGTGGCTTTGGAGCTGCCTCGCTCTTTGCTGGAGGGTCTTTGGCATCCAGGATCACTGAGCTGCACACAGAGGGAGTTCTGCTTTCCCCTCCTCTGACCACAAGCGCCGGTGAAGCATCGTGGGAGGAGTTTGGCCTTGTTCCTCCCTCGGCCATGCCAGCTCCAGGAGGGATGCTGTGCGGCTGGGGGCTGACGTTCTGATAAAGCTGAAACTGCTGAGGTCGTGCTGCAGCCGTGGGAGGACGCCTGAGGGAGCCGGCAACCTGCACGGGGGTCCCTGCCTGCCCCGGTCTCTGCAGGGATCCGTCTGGGGAGCAAGAACCATTGGAAGGAGGTAAGTCAGC